ATTACTGCTTTTTTTTGCGCGCCACGCATCATACTTCCTTTCAGAATCGTAGTGGCAGTTCAAATGTGATTTGGCCCACGACTTGCTAGCAGGGTGAATAACGGTCGAGGAAATCCTCGACCATGGCTCTGTACTGTGCGAGAGTAGTGCCGAGAGTGAACGTACGCGCGGAGAGCACAGACGGCTCGCGCATGGCGAGAGTGAATGTCCGCGCGGGAGAACGTAAAGATCAGGCAAAAATCCTCGACGTGCCGTTGAGGAATCCTCGACCGATATTCACCCTGCTTGCGAGAGCCAGCCGATGCAAGTCAGTGTCGTCGAAAATAGAGTGCGGTGGCACTCCATGGTGCCTTATCCGTAGCAGAAGAGTCACTCCTTTCGGCTTTCTAGCACGAGGGATAAGAGAGACTTACTCTAAATGTACTCTTAACAGAGAACAGTGTGTGATCCCAAACATCCTGGGAACATCCAAACCTCAGGGCACCTGTTCATCCACCCCAGGGCTCCTCCACCCTTAACCCTGGGCAAGGTTGTTCATTATTCTGATTAGGGCCATTTCCTTGAATCATTGTACCAATCTGTGTGTAGAACGCAAAGCCCCTTCCCCCCAACCTTCAGTCTCACCATTAGTGACACTTTATCCTCCCAAACAACAACGCTGGTACCAATTAACCGACCCCGGAGGATGGAAGGCTTGGTTGTTACGGATCGACTCACGACCCAGATTTGATCCTGGACCGCGCGCGTGGTAGCAGCGCCACTTGCTGCTACACCATTTTCGCCCTTCACGAAATAATATAATAAGTTCGCATGCCGAAAGTTGGTGCTCACAATTTTGTCGTTGTCGTAGAGACAATTCCGAGCGGCGATATCCCTGTGTACTATACAGCACTTATGCAGATATTCCATTCCCAATGCTGCACCCATCGCCATCAGAAGGCGTTCATCTCGGCTGATCTGCTTGTTCTTCCGTAAGTAAGCATCTAGTGCACCACCTCAACACAGTTGATCAGATCAGGATTTGATTCTAGCACCGCGTTTCACTTACCAGGAACATATTCTAGAATTATGTAAAGAGGAAGCTCCAAAAGTGCAACGCCGTAGATTCGAACCACATTCGGATGTCTTAACTCACGCATAAGACGTGCTTCATGCATCATTTCCTTGATTTTCGCTTTCGATATCTCAGTCTGTTCGGTTTTGAGCTGAAACTCATAAGTCATCGATTGCTTCTGTAGGCCTTTCTATTGTACTCAGGAATTTCAAACGTCTTTTGGCGTCGCTTCCTCAAATTTGCCCGAGCAACGACTCCAAGCCTATTTCATTCAGTGGTGCAGTACCTCCAGCAAGCGAGGTAGCTGAAGGCGCTAGCGCAGACGTGATGTCACACGTGAGTCAAAACTGCACCAGAGGCTTCCCTGCACTTAAGCAACACCTGCCCGAACCCCAGCAGGGTTTTACCTTTGACGACACTAATGGTGTTGAACGATGCGCTAGCCCTAGTCAAGAACATAAGAAGTGTGACTGAACAAAAAACTCACCTTGGAAAGCCGCGAAAGGGAGTTGAACGCCTTCGAAGTGGGCGTGGCGGCCACCGATCGTAAGCCCCTCTTGCCAGCCGTGGAGATCGCGTGATTGGCTGCGGCGACCCACGCAAATGCCTCCGCAGCCAATCACGCGATCTCCACGGCTGGCAAGAGGGGCTTACGATCGGTGGCCGACACGCCCACTTCGAAGGCGTTCAACTCCCTTTCGCGGCTTTCCAGGTGAGTTTTTTTAGTTTTTTGTTCAGTCACACTTCTTATGTTCTTGACTAGGGCTAGCGCATCGTTCCACACCATTAGTGTCGAAGGTAGAAACCCTGCTGGGACTGTTGCTTTAACATTCAGTAATAATCACGCATCTATGCGCAGTTGTGAATATGTTGCACTATCTTTAAATCAAGCGTCTGTGTGCTCTCGCCCGGCTACATTCTCCCACCTAAGATCAAGCGTCTGACTGGCCGATCCCTACGTAGTTTGGGGGGGGGGGAGGGAGAGAGAAGATAGGTTCGTATTTGCAACTTTGGAAGGCCGTAATTGGGGTTGACCAGAGTGAAAGGATCCAAATGCTGTCTGTACATATGCTTACAACTACACTGTTGTGCAAAACTTAAGGACGGAAGTAACTTTCACATGATATCTCACTGCTAGCTTAACCTAGGTGACCAAATTTGGCACATATATAGAAGTAAATGTTGCGGTACAGTGCAGAGAGTTACTAACAGAAAAGCGCAAAGGGGCGATTGGAAAAGACATTTTTCTTCAAAGACAGTGCCTGAAGCGGTTGATCGGTAAAGCCAGCCCAACACATGGTAAACCTTCAAAAGAGATTATGGGGTGTAAGAACAATACGGACAGCAAAGCATGCTATGCTACATGCTTCCATACTGGCTGCAATGTTGTTTAAGAGGTCTTGTGAAGCGTTAGATTCTTTGAACACCGCGACTAAAAACTGCTGGACAGTTACTGGCAAATGGGGTGCGCTACAATCACTCTACTGAATGCATGCCACATGTGCTCCATAGGATTTCAGTGGGGTAAGCGGAGAGGCTCATTCAATCGCCGAACGTCCCAAGAGTTTCCCACCTAGTATGCTCGATGCGCTCACGCATTGTGCTCCATACTAGTGAAGCTAGGACCAAGCGCACACCTGGAAAGATGCACATAGAAGTACAGTGATACAACAGGTTGGACCACAAAGTGTACTGCAATCACGAGAGGGAGGTTAGAACGTTCCGGCAACTTAATGCAAATATATCGCTTGGAAAACAGATATTTCTGGGTGTATTCCATATTGCCATTCTGCCGGAGTAATGATAATGTTATGTGAGTAAG